AAGTGTAAACCAAAACACCTTTTTTTGTGCTTACTAGAACTCGTGTGTAGCAAAGCTCTTTCTGTGTGAATGATAGTGGCCCTGGTGGAGTTTTAATCCCTCTAGAGATCTACATACATCTGATGGATTCTTCAGACTTCTTACCAAATTAATATCACCTTCATATTAATTCTTTAGCATATATTCATCTCAAAACCTAAGCTCTAAGAGAAGGCTTTATAGTTACTTATTTTTTAACATTTACAACATAAAGCAAAAGCAGTTTGTTCCCTTTGCCATTTGTGTAATATTTTTATTTTTCAATTTATCTCATACTTGTTCTGAAAATAGAATCCTCTGAGGGACCTGACTCTATAAATCTTAATGTTGACTCTCCTTATCTCTTGTGTATGTTAATCAAAACACACTATTGCCTCTGAGTTTTCAGTGCGCTCTCTGGTTTTGACTCTTGAGATGTTCCCTCACCATTTTGTAAGCAGAATATGAATTTTAAAATGTGTTAGTTATTTGTTGTCAGCATTTGTAAGTGGCTTTAGGAATGAGAATAAAATCTTATATCATTTGCCATACTTCCAATGGAACATAAGTCTATAAATTAATTTTTAGGTTGGGGCTATTTTAGTTGTCTTAATATTTTGTTAGGTGCCATAGAGTCAAATATGACTTATAGCAACCTCATGAACAATAGATAAGAACCATGTTCTATCCTGTGCCATCCTTACCATCTCTGATATACTTGAGCCCCTTGCCGCAGACCCTGTATCAATCCATCTTATTGAGGATCTTCCTCTCTTTCACTGGCCCTCCACCTTTTCAAGCATGATGTCCCTCTCCACGGAATAGCCTCTTCTAACAACATGCCCAAAGTACATGAGGTGAAGCTTTGTCATATTTGCCTCCAAGGAACATTCTGGTTACACTTTATCCAAGATGTAATTGTTTTTTCTTTTGGCACTACATTAGATATTCAGTGCTCTTCTCTAACATCAGAACTCAAAGGTATCAATTCTTTTTCTGTCATCCTTATTCATTGTCCATCTTTCAGATGTATAGCAAGTGAATGAAAATATTATTACCTGAGTCAGGTGCAACTTAGTCTTCAAACTGATGTAATTACTCCTCAGTAACTTGAAGAGGTCCCTGACTGCAGTTTCCCATTGTGATACTAGTACCAAAGGTGTTGATTATGGATCCAAATAACATGAAGTCATTGGGAATTTCAGTGTTTTCTCCATTTTTCATGATATTGCCTATTGGTCCAGTTGTGATAATTTTTGTTTTCTTGACATAGAGATGCAATTCATATTGAAGAATGCATGCAGTCTTTGATCTTTTGCAGCAAGTACTCCGTGTCATCCTTCACTTTCAATAAACAGGGTTGTATTATCTGCATAATGCAAGCTGTTTATGAGTCTTCCTCTAAAATCCTGCTAACACATTCCTCTTCATAGAGTCCAGCTTCTCAAATGATTTTGTTTTTTTTCTAACATACAAATTGAGGATACAACCCCTGTGCATACCTTTCTTAATTTAAACCATTAGTGTTCCATTATTCTGTTCATACAGCAGCTTCTTGATCTATCTATAGGTTTCACATGAGAACAATTAAGTGTTCTGCAATTTCCATTCTTTTCAATGTTAGCCATAATTTGTTATGATCCACATAGTCAAATCTGGGCTCTACTTCTAATACTGTATGTATGTATGTCTCTCTATTATCTATAGGGTTTTTCAGAAGCTTCTTATTTCAGAAATGAGTGGCCAAGCCTGCTTCCTAGTCTTTTTTAACTTAGGATGTCTACTAAATACTTATTTTATTGGAGATAGAACAGTTTGTGAGTCAGTCAAAATGAGGAGAAACAGCTACAAACATCTTTTCATAGCTGGAACATGGAATGTACATAGCTTGAAAGTTGGAAAACTAGAGATTGTGAAGAATGAAAAGGCATGCATAAACATCAAAATTCTATGCATTAGTAATGTGGGACAGACTGGCTTTGGCCACTTTGAATCAGACAATCACATTGTATACTATGCTAGGAAGGAAAAACAGAAAGAATAGTGTTGAATTCATAGTTAAAAAGACAATTTCAAGGTCTATCCTGAAATACAATGTTTTGAGTGATAGGATATTACTCAAATGCATAGGAAGCTCTGTTAATATGATTGTTATTCAAATATACACACCAACAGCTAAAGTCAAAGAGGAGGTAATTGAAGACTTTTATAAAATTTTGCAGGCTGAAATTGACCAAACATGCAATTAAGATGTATTAATGATTATCGGTGACTGGAATACATACATCGGAAACAATGAAGAAGAAGAGGTAGTCAGGAAAAAAAGAACTGAAATGAAAATAAGACTGAAATGAGGTCAGAAATAGAATACTTGAATTTTGTACATGTAATGAGTTGTTCATTAAAAATACCTTTTTTCCTGAAAACATAAATGGCAACTTTACAAATGGACCTCACTAGATGGACTGCATAGGAATCAGATTGATGACATCTGTGGAAGGAATCATTATTGCAGAATCTCAATATTAGTAGCAGAAACCAGGCCAGGTACTGACTGTGGAACAGATCATCAATACAAATTCATGTTCATGTACAAATTGAGGCTGAAATAAATTAAAAGAAGTCCACAAGAGCCAAAGTATGATCTTGACTCTATCCAACCAGAATTGAAAAATCATCTTAAGAAAAGCTATGAAGCATTGAACACCAATGATCTAAGGTCAGATAAGTTGTGGAATGATATCAGGGATATCAGCCAAGAAAAGAGAAAAAGATTATTATAAAAGAGGAGAAAGGAAAGGAAAAATAACACACACCAAAACCCAAAACGTATGTCAGAAAGGACTAAAAATTGCAGTAGAGCATCATGAAGCCAAAACAAGAGGACATGATGCTTAGGTTAAAAAACAAAACAAAACAAAACAAATCAAACAACTGAACAGAAGATTTCAAAGGTCAGATCAAGAATAATAAAATGTGCATAAAACTTTGGAGAATTTAAAAAGGAAGAACTTGCTTGACATTTCTCAAGCTGAAAGAACTGAGAAACAAATTTAAGCCTGGAGTTGCATTACTGAGAGATGGACTGAGCAAAATCTTGAATGATCCCAAAAGCATTGCAAGAAGATGGAAGGAATACAGAATCACTGTACCAGAAAGAATTGGCCAATACTGAAATGTTTTAAGAAGCACTATATGAGCAAGAGCCAATGGTAATGAAGGAAGCTCAGGCTGCACTGAAGGCATTGCCAAATAATAAGACCCCACGAATAAAATGGATACCGATCGACATGTTTCAACTAACAGCTGCAGCCCTGGATGCACTCACTAGTCTATGCCAGGAAATTTCGAGGACAGCAGACTGGCTAACTGACTGAAAGAGATCCATATTTGTTCCCATGTCCAAAAATGGTGATCCAACAGAATGTGGCCATTATGAAACATTACCATTAGTGTCTTAATTATCTAGTGGTACTCTAATAGAAATACCACAAGTGGCTGAGTTTAACAAGCAGGCATTTATTCTAATTCAGGAGGCTAGAAGGCCATATTCAGGGGGCTGGCTCTAGGAGAAGGCCCACTCTCTTGTCCTCTGGGAGGAAGGCCCTTATTTCTGTCAGCACCTCTAAACCTTGTGTTCCCTGGACATCTCCATGGACCTTGGCCTTTCTCAGTAACATGGAGTTTCCAGTGTTGAGACCTGAGTTTAAAAGGAAGCACTTTAGTCCTAGAGAGTTTTTTCTGGGTGGAACAGAGATTTCCCCTCTCGGCTTCCTTCCCCTGCCATAGTTTATAAAAGAAAACGGGTTACAGGCCACATTCACTCTAAGGAGACTCAGTCCAAGGCTGTGATGGGGTTAAGTTATGTTCCATTCTATCCTTTAGCCTTTAACAAATATTTGTTTTTTTCAGATAATGGGAGACCAGTGCATAACTTTCACATTATATCATTCTTTCTATGTAATTTTTGGAAGATACATTCAATCTGTGAGAGGGAGAAAGCACGTAAGGAGTTTCACAAATAAAGGGTTTTGCTTCTTCAGTAAGAGGAGAGTCTTTCTATAAATTAGAGGAACTGGCTAATTTTGAGATCTCTGGGTGGTTGGTAAGGATTCTCAAAGTTTGTAAACGATGGTAGTAGTCTGAGGCTGGACTGCCAGCTAAGAGTGACAGCTGAAACCCCTCCAGGCTCCGTCCCTTGAGAGAAAGACCTGACAGTCTACTCCTGTAAAGATTACAGTCTAGGACTTGATGGTGCAGGTCTTCTCTGTCACATGAAGTCCCTTTGAGTCACAGTAGCTTCAGTGGCACCCAACAAAGTATGTGTGGGATGGGGGGCATCTAGAACTAGGGGTCAAGTTTAACTAGAAGCGTTAAGGACTCTGCCTGTGCTGATGATAGAAGTTTCATACATATATTTGAAAATGATATTTAAAAGCATAGATAATTGCTAAGAAAGAGCATAATTCTAAATGGTGAGCCTCTTTTCCTGACTAATCAGCAAGTAAAAGAATTTTGGAGTGTGCTAAGAGATACCAGGATCATGGGGGGACCTAGGTATGTCTACCTTCAGCTGAACCAGAGAGCTTTGTCCAGGTGGATGTGAAGCCACAGGACAATTTCTGTTGAGTCATTTAGTCAAGTTCCAGTTTTCTACCAACTTTCTTATACTTTGTTCATTATTCCAACTTGTTGTTTTTGTTGTTGATTGCCTTTGAGTCAAGCACAACTCATAGTGACCTTATGAATAAAAGATCTGAAGCCTTTCTGTAAGTGTTAATATTTACCAAAGTTCATAGAATTTAAGGAGACTTGTTGTTCAGGAAGTGGCTGCCACTCCTGCATCCAAACTTAGGAGGTTTTTTTAATCACTTGTATTTCAAAGAAATATCTCTGTAAGCCTAATATAGTTGAGCACTTTGCTGAGGAGAATCAGGAACCTGGCTTTGCTGACCAGGTTGTGTCTTTTTTTGGCTTTTCAGTTCCTGCAATGATAACATCCTATCCAAATACAACCCTGGCCACGCAGGGTCAGAAGAAGGAAATGAGTTGCACAGCCCATGGTGAGAAGCCTATTATCGTCCGCTGGGAGAAAGAGGACCGGATCATCAACCCAGAAATGGCTCGTTACCTTGTCTCCACCAAGGAGGTGGGAGAGGAAGTGATTTCCACTCTGCAGGTAAGAAAATTATTAGTACAACAGAATAACTCTAATGTCATTTGCAAAATGAGTATCTTTTTTGTTCTCTTTTCATAAAAAACCAAAACCAAACCCACTACTTTCAAGTCAATTCTGGCTCTTAGCAACTCTTTAGGACAGAAAAGAATTGTCACATTGAATACGTAAGGCAGGGGGTGGCCTAGTGGTAAGGAGTTGTACTGGCAACGCAAAGGTGCACTGTTCAAACCCACCAGCAGCTGCATAGGAGAAGGATGGAAAATCAACTGTCATGCAATTCACTACCTCTGAAAAAGCTGTGGGTCAGTTCTGAATCGATGGTACACCACAACAGCATGAAGACAGACTGTCCCATCTTTTTCTTTATGAAGACAGACTGTCCCATCTTTCTCCCATGGAACAGCTATTAAATTTATAAGACTGGTTTTTCTCTCAGTCAGCAACCAAGCTCTTAGCCACAGCACCACTAACCCTCCTTTCTTTCATATAATTATGTGGTAGATAGTGAATAATCCTGGGATTTAACTATGCAGCATTAGTTTTCTCCCCATTTATACCAGAATGGCTCTGGTGGCTTAATTCACAGGATGTTGCAATCCTAGCAAAAAAGGACACAATTCTTTGGCAGTTTGAAACCAAACATCATTCAGTGGATAAAAGATGGGTAATCCTCCAGTGTGATTTATAGCCTCTGAAAACCCACTGGAAGGTCAGCTGGGAGTCACTTCTAATTTGATGGCAATGACTTTAACTTTCCATATCAAAAGGAAGCTCTGGTGGCCCAGTCCATAGGGTATTGCAGTGCTAGACCAACAGTTGCACCTCTCTGGGGGTTCAAATCCACCACCAACTCCATGGGAGGGAAATGCGTAGTCTCCGTCCTTCAAGCTCTGGCGGCCTAGCTGCACTGCAGTCCCACTGCAGAGCGAGCTGTGAGTCAGTTCCAAATCAAGGACAATCAGCTAAAGTATTAAGAGTTTTCATACCAAAAAATTACAAAGTAGCCTTCAAAAATAGTACTTTATTTTCAGTAGTATTAAGAATAAGGTTGTTGTGAATATAGAGGTGAATCCAGCTGTTTTTTTTAAATGTAAGAACCAATATATTTTACTAACATTTAATTCTAGAAGAATGATGATTGATGCAAATTTTATCTTCCTATGAAAAGGGATTTTGGAAAAAAATAATGAAACTACCTTGCTTCTTTGGAGAATTCCAATATTAAAAAAATCAACAAAAACTTCTAAATCTTATCATTAATAGAAGACCATAAAAATTAGGAAAATACTATTATTATTATTATTATTATTATTATTATTATTATTATTAGGCATTATTGGTTGCTGAGTAAAGCTTTTAGTGAGGGTTGGAGAGTATGGTAAGAGAAATGATGTGATTACGTATACATAACTGGGGGGGGGGGCGGAGGGAATGACCCTGTGTTTGAAAGTGCTTATATTAGTTCTCCAATCTTGAGTATTTCCATAACATAACTAAAAGAAAGGTCTTAGATGATAACTCGTTTTCACAGGGTTTATAGATCTGTTTCCTTAGACTGGTAGCTTTTGATGCTTCAAATGTGCATTGTAAGAAGAAATATATGTGAGATATATAGCAACCTTACCATGGCATCTCATACTGCTGGCATAAGTTACACTTCAACCTCGCATGGATCATGGACATTGAAGCTGTGCGTCTGCACATTTATATTTGCATTAACATAATTCTCTCCAAAGGTATTCATGTGTCTTGGTACTATGTCTCTGTTTGTGAGCTTATTACACATATGTGCTTGGGTGGAGGAAATGAGGTAAGAATGGAGAGGAGACTTTCACAAGCAAGTAATTTCAGTTGTTTCATGTTACTGAATACAATACTCTTTCTGCTTTATGCCTAGATTTTACCAACTGTGAGAGAAGATTCTGGCTTTTTTTCCTGCCATGCAATCAACTCCTATGGGGAAGACCGTGGAATAATTCAGCTCACAGTGCAAGGTAGGGAGAAGACATAAAGGAAAAAAAAAACACACCACAAAATCAAACACCGATCTTTAAGAAGAATTAAGTGTATGTTTGTGCTCAGGTCCCTGTGTGGCTCAGCTTTCTGTGTCTCACGTTCGGACGCTCAGAAAATTTTGCATATATGTACGAGGCCACTGATAAGGTAGTATTTTGCAGTGCCTGTGAAGTTCAGCCAGACAGGAAAGATGCCTTTCAAGGAGTTAAGACTGATGGCAGGTTCTTCAGGAGGAAGGCATGGAAGTGGAATACTGTACCCTCTTTGGTCAGTTTCAGGAATTGTAGGCATCAGAATGAAAAGGGAAATTTAACAGAACAAAATGTTATTTGAGTTATATTCTGATCACTTGCTATCATCTGAGAGCTAGACAATGAATAAGGATGACAGAAGGAGAATTGATGCCTTTGAGCTGAGGTGTTGGAGAAGAGCACTGAACATCCAAATGACGGCCAAGAGAACAAACAGATACGTCTTGGAGTTAGTGCAGATGGAGTACTCTTTGGAGACAAGAATGATGAAACTTTCCCTCACATTCTTTGGGCATGTTGCTAGGAGGGGCTATTCATTGGGAAGGTTGGAAGGTGTGTGAAGGAGAGGAAGACCCTCAGCCAGGTAAATTGACATGGTGACTACCACAATGAGTTCTTGTTTGTCAGGAAGTGAAAGGATGGCACTGGGTAGAACAGGGTTCAGATCTTTTGTTCATAGGATCACTGTGAGCTGTATTCTACTCAACTACACCTAACAGCAATGACAACATAGATTACAACCTAGAATATTGTTATTGTTATTGTTATTGTTGTTGTTATTGTTAGGGACTCTTGTCAACCCTCCACCTTTCAAATATGGTGTCCCTCTCTGATGAATAGTCTCTCCTTGCCCAAAGTATGTGAGATGAAGCTTTATTATATTTGGTCCCAAAGAACACCCTGGCTCTATTTTCTCCAAAACATATTTGTTTGTTCTTTGGCAGCCCATGGTATGTTCTGTACTCTTCTCCAACAACACAGCTCAAAAGCAACCTAGAATAGTGAGATTTAAATCCTATGGATTTGGTTCTATTATGCAAGTATTAATATTGAAACTGGGGAACAAGTAGAGTTTTTTGATGCAATTAGGAAAGCAAAACAACGCTCCTCCAGATGGAAGCATTTGGCCTTTTTGGTGACTCCCATTTGGCATTTCAAATTTCCTCTTGTGTCAGAACTGTGAAGTAACCCTGGCCTCTCTATTGGTTGCGCAGAGCCCCCTGACCCTCCTGAAATTGAGATCAAAGATGTGAAAGCACGCACAATTACCCTCAGGTGGACCATGGGCTTCGATGGCAACAGCCCTATCACAGGCTACGATATCGAATGCAAAAATAAATCAGGTAAGTCCTTTATTGCCTCCTGTGCAGGTCATTTCAAGTGCACAGTTATTTATTTTTCCTTTCCTTTTCATTTTACTTGCAAGATGAAATCTCTAATTGTAGCAACGTAGAAGGCACCCTTCTTGCCAGATCATCTTTTCTTGAGTGAAGGTTATCTATGTTTCCTCTGAGGGGATGAGGGTGTCGTGTTTTGAGTGGACACATTTTGTTGAGGGGTTCAGTCTCCCTACTTTATTTGCTATCCTGAGCTGGGTGTCCTCACTGCTGATGGGCATGGGGACAGCTCTTGATAGATGCAGGCTGATGTTCTTGCTTCCCATCTACTCCTGCTTCCCATTCACTTCTCAGTTCCCCAGCTGGTGACCGCTCTGGACAGTGACCCTGTGTCTGGAGCCCCGAGTTCTGTCTGTGCGTGGCATCTCTGTGTTGATGGCCCTGGGTGGTGATCCTCAGCCCATTGTAATTTTGCAGAAGAAGAAGTGATCTTGGTTGAGTTTAGGCACTCAATTTGTAGTCACTTCACAAACTGTTACAAAGGACAGGCCAGTGGGACTTACTCATACACCCAGAAGGCACACATATATATGTATTCCTCATGGGCCAGCCGGCATCTGGTCACATCAGCAGGAATCTCATCAATAAGGCCACCGATTGGTCAGGACCGCTTGGCAGGTGTGTCCTTTCACCATCCTAAGGGGGAAAGCACCAGGGCCATTTTATGCTTTACTGTCACTCTAACCTAGGGGACAAAACTACACCTGTGGCCTCAATTCAGAATTTTTATTGCAGCTCATAAAGGAGACAAAGAATTAGAGCAGTATCAGTATGTAAAGAGTTAATAAAATTCTTAGAGGCCACAAAATAGCCTATTTCCACTTTGTAGGCCAGAGTATGTTATTTCAGATTACACTGTCAGGATTGATTTAGTATCTTTTAAGCTGAAGCTGTAGTAAAAAATTAAGCTCAAGCCAGCTTGAAAGACAGGTCAAGACTGAAGGAATATTTTAGTAAGAGCTTGCCAGGGACAGGCAGGAAATGGGAATTATAAAGGGACACTCAGTAACGGGTGTAGAGGAGTTTGGGAAAGCTCTATTTTTAGATAAAAAGAAGATACAGAATCCAGAATGGAAATTAAAAAATAGTATCTGAGACTTGGCAGTGGTTTAGAAAAAAAATGTAGTGGAAAAACAAGGCAACTCAGTTATCTGCACAGTGTCCTCAGTTGCTGTAATACCTGGCATAGAATCAGCCCCTGATTCGTGGGATCCCACCAACCATGCGAATACCACCAGGTCCTACACCATCCTCATGATCGAGTGAGGATTAGGGAGCTGTGATCCGTTGTGTTTTCAGAGACTAACATTCAGACATGGATCACCAGACATATCCTCCTACTGCCACTCAAACTTACCCAGCATCATTGCAACACACATACCCCCATTAACAGACAGGTGATGGCTATGCATGAGGTGTATTGGCCAGGAATCAAATCTAGATAGCTCACCTGGAAGATGAGAATTCTACCACTGACCCATCAGTGTTGCTGTTGTTAGGTGCTATTGAGTATGGCACAACTCATACTGACCTTATGAACAACGGACTTGAACCCTGTTCTATGCTGTACCATCCTCACTGTCCCTGACACACTTAAGCCTTTTGCTGCAGTCACTGCATCAATCTACCTGAAAGGTCTTCCTCTCTTTCACCATCCCTAAACTTTCCAAGCATGATGTCCCTCTCTAAGGAAAAGCTTCTCCTAGCATCATATGCAAAGTATGAGATGAATCTTTGTCTCCAAGGAGCCTTCTGGCTGCATGTGCACACATAGGTCCCTATGCACACACCACAGGGAAGCCCTTGAGAGGAGTCCAGCTGTTCAACTTCACTCTGTCGCTAGGGCACATATAGATCTGGTCAGAGCTGCAACTATGGCCCATCCAGGGGAGGCTAGTGATCTAGGGAGCAAGCCAGTACTGACCCCAACATGGGATCTTTTGAATTAGAAAAGGTGAGATTTTTGAAAGACTAAAGAAAATGTATTTTCTCTTACTAAAATAAGGTCAAGATAGAGCCAAGGAATTAATAAAATCTTTGAGATGCAAAATCTTTTCACGCAAAAGAGATACTTCTTAATTGTGATAGGTATGTTCCCCCTTTCCATTGCATTGCCCTATTCAACTTCAGGCTCACCTTTAGATGTATCATGAGACCTTTACCTATGATATTGAGAATGGGTGGTACGAGTAATTAATGCTTTTAGCCACCACCTAGAAGTTTGAGTCTGCCCTGAGCTCCCTCAGAAGAAGAGTCTGGTGACCTGCTCCTGAAAGGCCAGCTGTTGAAAACCCTGTGGACATCGTTCAGCTGTGTTCATACAGGGTTGCCATGAGTTAGAGTTGACTCCATGGCTACATTTTTTTAAATGAAAATGAGCTACCAAAACTTCATAGAAAGAGACTTTAAAACTGGTGATAGCAATGAGAATTTAGGGGAAATGGTGATAAGATTCATGAGAAAGCCCCAGAGAGTCCTCAGAGGGCTATCACCCCACCCCCCAAATGCATGTGTTATTCATTGAGCTGTGAGTCAGTCAGTCTACTAGAAAATGCAGAGTAGATCTCTGCAAAGGTGGACGTGGTTCAAAATGCCAATGAAACCACCAAAGTTATCTCTGCGGCCAACTACTCATCCTAAAAGAGAAGTGTGGGATTCCTGAGAGGTGAGCCACTCCTGAATTAGGCTTCACAGCGGAGAGAGAAAGTGCCATGACTGTCCTACCAGGACACAGACCATAAGTACTTTAGTCATTGGCAAGAAGGAGACTTGGTCACCGCTTTAACATTGCCCTCAGAGCTTGTGCTATTTCATTCATTTTAACAGACATGCGTTGAGTCACTTCCCAGTGCCAAGTACCTAGAACATTGTTATCTGCTGGAGCTTTGGCTCTGAAACAGAAGTTGATCTCTGCCTAAGGACCTCATGGTAGCACAGAGTATTTCCTTAAGACCAAACCAGTTGCTAGAGAATTGATTCTTACCCATGGAGGCTTTATGAGTATGGCAGAGGGGAACTGTACTTTATAGGGATTTCAGTGATTGATTTTCAAGAGTAAATTATGAGGCCTTTCTTATGAGCTCTGGGCAGGCTTGAAACATCATCCATCAGCTTGTACCTGACTTGGGTTTCTGAGGCTGTAAATCGCAATGGAGGAGGTAGCCTGTCTTTTTCCTTTAGAGCTATTGGAGGTGTTCAAACCAACATAGGGTTACAGCTTTTGGGTGAGCAGCACCACTGTCTACAGACTAAGCCACCAGAGCTCCCTTTTTAGTTAATAGTGGAGTACAAGCCATGTGAAGGAACATCGCAGCATTTAGTAGCACATTATTATTATTGACTGAGTCCATGGTCTACATCATGAAAGCGGGCTTGAATGATTTACTGGATGCATCAAATCTCTACACTGGTGCAGGCACTGGCTGCTCTAGGTATCACACACAACCGTGGGACTTCACTTAACTCCCCAGCTTCAGATCCTAGGCTGGGTGGGCAGCCTTGGCTCGCTCTGGCCTGGTGAAGTCCAAGGTGGCCATAATGGCAATAAGAAGACACAAAAGATTCTTGTGTCCTGTCATGCAAATGATCTAGCCTGTACAGGCCTCTGAAAGCCCTAGCTTGAGTTAGAGACATCCCATCCCAGCCACCTCCAACCAATACACTCTGACCTCTTATTCCCTCTAAATATCTCTGATGGTAGTTCCACCTTGTGGCATAGAGACATAGTGATTTTTAAGTAAATCTTAAATAAACCTCACCACCTCTGAGCAATAAAATGTCTTCCTAGCCATAAATATTTCATCTCTCAGGGTTAATGTGAGTACTGAATGTGATAAAGAACCTAGCATAGTAACTGCATATAGTTGTTATTGTTAGGTGCCTTCCAGTGAACAATAACTCGTTTCATAGCAACCCTATGAACAACAGATCTCAAATTTACCCTATCTGCACTATTTTCATGATCTCAGTTATGCTCAAGCCCATCACGTTAGTCTCTATGCCAATCCATTTAGTTGACGTCTTCTTTTATCTCTGAGCTTCTACTTTCCCATCAAATTGTCTTTAAGGATTGGTTCCTACTGAAAGTATGCCCAAAGTAAATGAGATCAAGTTTCACCATCCTTTCCTGTAAGGAACACTCTAGTTGAAGTTCCTTCAGGATAGATTTATTTGTTCTCTTGGCAGTATCAGGTATATTCAATATTCTTTGTCAATGCCACAATTCAAAGGCATTAATTCTTTAGCAGTCTTCATTATTCATTATGCAACTTTCGGATACATAGGAAGTAATTTAAAATTTCATGACTTGGCCCAGGCCCATCTTAGTCTTTAAACTGATATCCTTGCTCTTTAGAATTTGGGAGAGGTCCTTAACGGTAGATTTCCTCAATGCAGCATGTCTTTTGATTTCTTGACTGCTGCTCTTATGGATGTTGACTGTAGATCCAAGTAAAATGAAATCATTCACAACTTCAAACTTTTCTCCATCTATAATTATATTGCTTAATTGGTCCAGTGATGGGGATTTTTGCTTTCTTAAGGTTCAATTGTGACCCATATTGAATAATCTTTTCTCTTATATTGTCTGTGCTTTAAATCTTATTTACTTTCTGCAAGCAAAGTTGTGTCATCTGTATAACACAGGTTGTTGATGAGTCGTCCTCTAATTCTGGTACCACATTATTTTTTATATTCAAGCTTCTCAAATTATTTTATTAACATACAGATTGAATGGGTATGGAGAAAAGATACAACCCTGAAGCACACCTTTCCTGATTGTAAAGCATGCAGTGTTCCTTTTCTCTGTTCAGACAGTTGCTTCTTGGTCTATGTATAAATTTTACATGTGCATAAATATCCTGAGATTCTAAATGTTATCCATAATTTGTTGTAATTTACCTAGTCAGATGCCTTTTCATAATCAATAAAACACAAGTAAACATTTT